GCATAAAATATCCATAAACACACTCACATATATTCTGGATGATTGACTAGCCGATTACTGTGTATTTGTTTTATTAATTATTATTTATTTCTTACATTTTTTAGTCATTGTGCTTTAACTAGCAGGTACTTGGACATTCACAGTAAAAACTCTTTCGGAAACACTGTATTTTTAAACTCATCTGCTTTAAAGTGCCGCCACTACAGGCATACAGAACACATTAAGATGGATGTCTCTTGTCGTTGCGTCACACTTCACACAGTCCCACTACAAGTGTTGCATTTTTAAGTCGGCATGTCAAGTTAAAAATAGTCCATCCTTTACGCATCTTGAGACTCTTGCATTCTGTTCCATGCTATTGCGCTCCATCTAGCTGTTTTTGCAAGAACGCTTCTTACATAAATGCACCTTAAAGAACACGTCCAGTCAGGGTCAGGTAAGAACAAACCCAACCTAATTATACAGGTTTTTGATTAGTCGGCTACTTGTTCAAGCAATAGAATACAAGAAAAAAAAATTGCAGATGTGAAAAGTGTTACCAGATTTCTGGATCATTATGAATAATAAATAATGGCGTGAAGTTCCTTCTTAATTAACAATGTTTTTGATAACAGCTTCCTTTCAGCTTGACCAGTAACTTTGGGGCTGAGATACATGTGCTAGACCGGCTGTAGCACAAGAGAGCTCTTCGAATCTGTGATCATCGAATCAGAGCTTCATATCACTAACCGTGGAAGGGAGCAACAGATACGTAAGTGGATAGTTAACAAAGAGTTTTGTCGCATAGTGAATGCACCTTCTTCTCTGCAGGTTGGCTGCATAGTTACTGTGCTACCACAGTAGCTGTGCATTTTACCATCTCCAAGGATACCATATCCATGACAACCTCAACCCATCAAAAGATTCCGTTCATAGCCCATAAACAGAGGGGTGTATGTATCAAATGAAGGAAACCATGCTTGTGTAACTCTAACCTGCCTGCAAAATCCTGGTTCTTGGAGTAAAAATCCAGTTCAGAAATAATTTTTAATACAAATATAAACATTTAAACTGACAGACATACCGTGAGCTCTGAACCAAGAACAACAATGTGTTTAATTACTGAATTCCCACAAAAACAAACAAAAAAAAAAACACATTACCATAATACTGGATCTAGCTTCACCAATGAGAGAAGTCACTGTTACCATGGAAATGATAATCGCAGTAAAATTAAATATTAAGCATTAACCATTAAGCATTGCAAATTACACAATCAAGTCAATAAAAGCCCACTCCCATAAGGCATTGCAAATTACATAATTGTGTCAGTAAAAGCCCACTCCCATGAAGCATTGTAAATTACGTAACTGAGTCTTCCAAAAACTTATATATTAATACATACAAAAGATTATATACTATACATAATTTGGACCCACTTTATATTAAGTGGCCTTAACAACTATGTACTTACATTTAAATTAATAATTTGGTACAATGCACTTATTGTGTACATACATGTTTTTACATTGTACTTATATTTTAAAAATACCTGCATGTAATTACATCTGTAATTAATTTCTGTAATTACATTTATAATTACACTGTTGACCCATCCCTTACAACTTAACCCACCCTTAACCCTACCCATACCAATAAACCTGTCCTTAACCTTACCCGTATCCCACCTCAATAGCAGCAGAAGTGTTTTGCAATACAATATGAACACAATAAGTACATTGTACTTAATTTTTGATGTAAGTACATAGTAGTTAAGGCCACTTAATATAAAGTGGGGCTCAACTTACTAACATTTGCACCATTTACTGGTATTTGCGCCATTATTTAAAGCCCCAAAAAAGCACATCTTAAAGCAGGCTGTAATTTGCGCTGCTCTTGGTAGATTGCGCTGGTCATTATGGAAATGATCTGTCTGCGTCTGTGTTCTTTAATGTGTGCATTGTCAGTAAATCACACGAAAAATGTTCCCCTCCCATCGGCGCTTTTATGAAATTGCGCTTTAATGCTAATTTGCCCTGTTTATTAAATCTGTCCCAAAGTCTTTCAAATCATATTGACTTCTTTCATGTTTGAATGACACATTTCCTTTATGCATAAAAATTGTGCTCACTGTAAACTTGTATGAAAAATTTCTCCATAAAATTTGTATTTTGTGCTTGATTTGGATTTGGTACAACATGAGAGTGTATAAACAATGACAGAAGTTATTCTTTTAAGTCTTCATTTTCATTCATTTGCCTGTTTTTGAAAACATTCATGCCCAAGGGACATCTTCGGATAGATTAATGATTGTGGCTCCCAGAATAGACAAGTCTTTGTTATAGTACACAGAGGATTTAAGCTGTCAGCTACTCGTGGATGCTTTTTCTCCTCTTTTTTGCCTTCTTCTCGGGTGGAAAATAAGATAGGTGATGCTGTTCAGAGTAGTACTTGTTGTGGTGTGCCGCATCGGCTGGTTGGCCCGAGCTCACTGACTATAAAATAAATCATTTCACATTTGATTTGGTATTTATGAGCGTCACTTTTATTTATTTATTTATTTTGTATAGTGAATGCATCTTGTTTTCCCTCTCACACTCGTTGGCTCACTCTCTTTCTCTTTTGGAACAGATTTTATACTGTTTTCTATCTGTGCAACTAAACCTGTGCATCTGTGGAGTGAATTGTGGGTTCTCAATACACGTTTCATCTGCCACTCATTCAGTAAATCAAGTGCAGAACGTGCAACAAAAAAGCTCAAATCAGCAGCTCTTTTTGTAATTTACCAGCGAGAGCAATCTCCTGTTTTGTACAGGCTCCTGTAGAAATAGCCATGCTGAAGGGGAATAATTCATTTGTGCTATATCCCACCTCAATAGCAGCAGAAGTGTTTTGCAATACAATATGAACACAATAAGTACATTGTACTTAATTTTTGATGTAAGTACATAGTAGTTAAGGCCACTTAATATAAAGTGGGGCTCATAATTTTTTATATACTTTAATATTTTAAAATAAAAAGCATTTTTTAATTATTTATATTGTACAGATATTTTTGTATATGTCATTCTCAAATATTTTATAGGATGTGTAGTTCATTGCCTCATAAATTGTTTTTTTTTTAATTCCTTTAAAAAAAAAAAAGTTTGTAAAGTTGTAAGTGATTCACCAAAATAATGAATCTCAGAGCTGGTTGGCTCGATGGCTTTTTTTTATATACATACAGAGAAAACGAAAATACTTGCATAACGAATGAAGTCGCTATGTTCCCCCAAAAGCATGCTTTCATTCATGCATTAACAGGTTTTCATTGTGTTCTTCGCTGGGAAAGGACATAATGCAGCTTCATATTGCAGAGCTGATGTGTGGATGGGTTAGTGTTACTCAGGCTACAGCATGAATCTCTGAGAGGGCTGAGAACTTCTTCCACAGCCAAACATCCAGATTACCCACACACTCCATCATTCTGCATTCATTCAGGCTGAATGTACTGTACATTGAGCACTGAAGCACACAGGCTGTTCTTAGGCTTACAGAGTTCCAATCTCTCTGTTCTAGATTCAGCAATCTGCACTTCAAATTCAAAATCCAATGTAAGTTTTAAAATGCAATTGCATTTCACAAAAGTTAAGAGCGATTTAATCATTCAACCAACAGCAATCACTATCATCATTGTCATCATCACAATCATAACATCACGACTATCACCAACATCACGTCATAACCACAACATCATCAGCAGCAGAACCACTATCATCATGACCACCATCATCACTATCATGTAATCACCACTATCATTGCCGTCATTAGCATATGGTCACAGCATCACACTACCATCATCACATTACCACCACCATCACATAACCTCTATTACTCATCAAGACTGTCACTAACATTATTATGCTTACTATTTCCATCACATCATCACCACCATAACCATTATCAATCACTGTCAAAAGCAGTATCACCCATTACATCATCAAAACATAACTACCACCACAATCACCATTATCACTGTCACTGTCATAACCAGTACTATCCTCACTGCCATAATCACCACCACCACCATTTCTTTCACACCATTATCATCCTCACATTACAACCATAACCATTCCCACCACTACCATCACCATCATCATTACAATCACTGTTGCAACCAGTATTATCCTTACCATTAACACCACTGTCACAACCATAACCATCCTCACTGCTTCTAACATTGCCATAATCATAATCATCTCCACCACCATCATTACTCTCACATAACCATCACAACCATTTTTCCCTCACCATCACATTCCTCACATATCGCCATCACCATTATCATCAACGTCACAACGTCACCACCACATATCACCACAATCATGTAACATCCATCACAATTACAACCATAACTATCCCCTCCACTATCACCACCATCATCATTACCAGTCACTGCCAGTATTACCCTCATCATTACCATCATTGTCACAACCATCACCATCCTCACTGCTACTATCATTGTCATAATCATCACCACCATCATTACTATCACAAACCCATCTTTATCCTCAACACCATCCCGTCATCACCGTTATCATCAACATCACATTACCATCATCTTCTTCCTTTATTTATAAAGCATTATTTAACAGTCGGTTGGTCAAAGTGCTTTACATTTTTAGAGCCATATCCCCACCACTACCATCACCACCATTATCATCAAACGCTGTCCCAACCAGTATTATCCTCACCATTACATCACCGTCACAACCATCACCATCCTCACTGCTACTATAATCGCCACAATCACATCACATAACCATCACCATTACCTTCACAACCAATACCATCCTCACCATTATCATAACCACATTACCACCAGTATTACATAACATCCATCACAACCATAATCATCCTCACCACTCCGGTCATTGCCATTGCATTGTCTTAATTCCATAATGATCATCATCATTATCATCACTCTCAAATCATCATCATGCGTATTTCTGACTTGTGCTGTGAGGCAGAGTGTCTCTTACCAGGTTTGAGTTGGTTGCGTTGGAATCGTCCTCTGGGAAAGGGATGTAGACAGCTAAGGCCACACAGTTTGCAAAAATAGTCATCAAAATTATGATTTCAAACGGTCTGAGGAGTCAGTGTTAAAGAAAAGGACATCAGAGCTGGTGCATACACAAGCAAAAGAATACATACAGTACAGTACAGTACATGTTAACTCTCATCAATGCACAAGACAGTGTGTAAGAGCAAAGGAACACACATACAGTACAGTACATGTTAACAGTACAGTTCTCTCATCAGTGCACAAGACAGTGTAAGAGTTTTGATCCTCTCTGGATTTTTTTCTCTACTCAAATCTTTTTCTTTTCTTTCCTGTTAATAGCAAGGACAAGCTCTTCAAAAACCTGGCCTTCATCAAGACATCGATCTTCACCCCCCCTTCCATTTTCCTTCTCTCTCTTCCTCTCCACTACTCTCCTCCCTCTCTCTTTTCACTGGCCAAATTGTGTGTTTGGCTTTCAGTTCTGCTGGAAACACAATCAAACTGTGTCATCATTTGTTACAGGAATGGATGTCTCCAAGATGGGTGTCGAGTCGCATGGCACGTGTCCTGAGGAGAAACAGATGTGTTCTTGTTTTTCTGGATGTTTCTCTTGTATCTGCTGTCTGGGCCTTGAGTTATGGCTCTCTGGGGTTAGTTCAGAATTACAGAGCCATAGACCCTGTAACCCATTTAGATAAACATGCTTGTAGATCAGTAGTTCGGTTCCCTAAGGGAGTAAAAACAGACCATTGCAGGCAGACTCAAACTGAATTTTATCTTTAAAGGTCTTACAAGGTTATAAATAACACTTCTATATATGAAATCTGCTTGAGTGTGCATTAATGTGAATGTGTGTGACCAAATGTGTGTTTGTAGGAGGGGTCAACATGCGTGTGCATTTGTGTGTGGGAGGGGTGAATATTTCAGCCTGTTGAGAGGAGCTGTTGGCATAGCAACATTGCCAAAGACAGGAGAGATGGGCTCTGGAGTCTCTGGAGATACAGATCCAGTCAAGTGTGTGCAAGACTAAAGACACATATGGATAGAACCGGCAAAACAGGGACTTTCATAAAATATCCCACCAAAATTAATGAGGGAAAATATTTCTCTGTCTCCACAGTTCAGCCGTTCCCTCGTGCCGGTTTGTGAATTTATGGGGAAATCTTTGATGGTGTGATCAGTTCTTGGCTGAAGCTGTGAATGGGAGCGGGATCTCCTATTTCCTGATGAATGAAGCATTTTACTCAACCAATCAATCCTTATTAACATATTTTACTGGTCGGGGACCTATTGCTGTCTCTTGTGGGCAGAAAAGATTACATAAAACCATGAGAGAGGGGAAAAAGAGAGGAAGGGGAAAAGGACATGGAAACACACCGTTATACAGTCTCCTATAAAATGCATTTGAGGGGTGCCCTTGAATGACTCATCAAAGCTCAACTCGATTTAACCCTTAGTAGAATTAGATGTAAGAGGGATTCTGATGAGAACGATACTCTATTACACAAAACACAAGCAAAAGGTAGCACAGAAGCTGCATCTGAAGTGGCAAAAACCCCCACAAAAAAGTGCATTCACACCTTTAATGCAGCAAAGAGTGAATGACAGTCATGAGAATAACATATCACATGCTGAAGAGTTTTTTTCTTCTTTTATTGCGGGAGGCCTTTTATATTTTTGTATTGCTTCATGCACCATTGCATATTTAATTATAGCAATGCAAAGATGCCATAACACATCTGTCAAGCATGCTGTAATACTAACAAACAGATCATACAACAATTAATAACCGCACCTATTCAGAAGCACTGCTGCGAATCAAAGATGAAAATAAATCATTTATGGCCTGGATATCAATCATTTAAAGTCAGCTATGTCCTGTCTGAGGAGTTTATGAGCAGTCTGTAACTGTAACACTGATTAATTAACATTCACAAAAAACTGTATCCTCAGCTACCTGCAGAAACAATTGTCACAAACTCAATATGAGACTTTTTTGGATATGTCGCTCTGGGAGGAATGTGTCTGCCAAGAACGTAAATGTGTGAACTACAGATCAAAAAAATCAGTAACTCGGATGTGACGGCAATTTGAGGCCCTGCATCAGTGTACTGCCTCTCAGATTCATATGCGCTCTTTCTAATGAAATATGTGGTGAATTAAAGCACAGATATATATATATATATATATATATATATATATATATATATATATATATATATATTAATTTCTTTCAAATTATATATATATATATAATTTGAAAGAAATTAATACCTTTATTCAGCAAGGACACATTTGATCAAATGTGACAGTAAAGATGGTTTACATTGTCACAAAAGATTTCTACTTAAAAAAAAGTTATTTTAAACTTTCAATTCATCAAAGAATTCTGAAAACAACAGTATTCCACACAGTCTCCTCAAAAATATTAAGCAGAACAACTGTTTTCAACATTAATAATAATATGAAATACTTCTTGAGCAGCAAATGAGCACATTAGAATGATTTCTGAAAGATCATGTGAGACTGAAAACTGGAGTAATAGCTGCTGAAAATGTAGCTTTGCCATCACAGAAATCATTTATATTTAAAAAAATATATTAAAACAGAAAACCATTTGAAATATTTAATTTGAAATAACATTTCATAATATTACTGTTTTTATTGCAGTCTTGGTGAGCATAAGAGGCATTCTACTACCATCATCACATTAACCCTTTCAAAAACTTTACCGACCACAAACTTCTGAACAGTAGTGTATATACTGTATATGACAAACAGATCAAAGTTCAGTAAAGGATACTTCCATTCCACAATACTGATGCACGCCCTGCGGATAGGGTTTTTAAGAGTGAGGCAGAGAAGGGCTCGGGGTGGGCGCGTGGAGGCAGTGCTGGCCTGTTTCTTGGGTTTGGTGTAGTGCTGGCGTTTGCGCTGTGTGGAGCTCGCAGTGCAGATCGGGGCTGCGGTGGTGCCCATCAGCTTGGCCTGCCGTGCCGCGTTGATGGCTGCCTGCCAGTTGAGGGGGGCACCAGGGGTGGGAATGTGTTCAGGTGCAAGACCCAGCACCCCACCCCCGTCCCCCACATGCTCGTCCTCATTCAGACTGGGGACTGGAGCCAACGACGGACTGGAATAGTTGGAGCCTGCAGAGGAAGAGAAGGAGACAGTGAATGAGAAAGTGTGAGAGAGACGTTAATGTAGCACTAGCACAAAAAAAGAACATTCTCTACAAAACACAAAAGAAGTGGAGATTTGTGCTGTTTGGTTCTGTATTAACCTGTAATACATAGAGAGGTTCTGTAATATTTCTGTGTTATTGATGTCATATTGATTGGAAATATTTTTAAATATATATTTTTTAATCATATCTTCCTTGGCAACTTTCCTAATGCCTTTTAGGGTAGATTTGAAAAGCCAAAAAATAAAAGATTTTATAGTTTTACCACTGTCCCAGCCCCAGATTTTATTTTATAGAAGTCCACAGGGACAACAAAGCTCACAGCCAGATGGACAAGTGGTTATTAAAACGGTTGTCACGTGTTGTACTTGTCCAGTCAATGTTATTACGTTTGTAAATATGCAAATAAGACCATCAAATCCATCCACAAATGGGTTTAAAAATGTACAGTGTGAAATCTCAAAGCCTGGCAACCCAAGATTAAACACCCCTGGTATTTATTTGTAATAACTCCTGGGTAAACAATTTCAAGTGTGAAAAGCCAATCAGTGTTCTTTTATATTAACTGTCTTGTTTTGAGGCATTCCAAAATAACCATACTGGCCAATTGCAACAGAGTATTTGTATTATATCACACTAAACATCACACATGGAAGCCCTGCAGGACTGTGTCTCATCTCCATCTGCAGTCCAAAATCGTAATATCTAAAGAGAACCACCGTCAACCATCCTACTGAAGTGTGTGTGTGTGTGTGCGTGTCAGGAATGAGAAACTGAGTGAGATCACAGTAGTAAACCACAGAACTGAAAGTTTCTCCCATCTTGTCCCAGCCCCAGATTTTATTTTATAGAAGTCCACAGGGACAACAAAGCTCACAGCCAGATGGACAAGTGGTTATTAAAACGGTTGTCACGTGTTGTACTTGTCCAGTCAATGTTATTACGTTTGTAAATATGCAAATAAGACCATCAAATCCATCCACAAATGGGTTTAAAAATGTACAGTGTGAAATCTCAAAGCCTGGCAACCCAAGATTAAACACCCCTGGTATTTATTTGTAATAACTCCTGGGTAAACAATTTCAAGTGTGAAAAGCCAATCAGTGTTCTTTTATATTAACTGTCTTGTTTTGAGGCATTCCAAAATAACCATACTGGCCAATTGCAACAGAGTATTTGTATTATATCACACTAAACATCACACATGGAAGCCCTGCAGGACTGTGTCTCATCTCCATCTGCAGTCCAAAATCGTAATATCTAAAGAGAACCACCGTCAACCATCCTACTGAAGTGTGTGTGTGTGTGTGCGTGTCAGGAATGAGAAACTGAGTGAGATCACAGTAGTAAACCACAGAACTGAAAGTTTCTCCCATCCTGTACCCTCATTTTTCTCTCCCCCTTCTCTTTCTAATAAATGGTTCAGCCCATCGAATAAGCCAAAGTCTGGATTAGTTTGAAATGTCATGTAAGAATCAGTGAGTTTATCTATGCTAAAATATTTTCTCCTATCCCAGTTTAACATGTAGTTTTTGTAGAGTGATGCTGCGATGCTAGTGGTGCAGAAATCAAATTTTTGTAGACGTCTTTATAGGAGAAAGTGCTGGGTTTTGGTCATTAGGATTCAGTAAAGTATGTCTGAGAGTAAGAAGAGAACTGGAGAGTTGTTCGGTGTTATCTCACTCCTGTTAAATTACAGGAAGTCAGAGTGGTGTTTTTTCTTGATGACATGCAGACTCTCGTAAAGCACCATTTCTAATTAACATAGTAAAGCCATGCTCTGGATAAAGGACTTTCAAAAGGAAGAATCTCAGTTACTCATCCTGAAGTACACTCTTAAAAATAAAGGTGCTTCATGATGCCATAGAAGAACCTTTTTGTCTAAATGGTTCCATAAAGAACCTTTAACATCTGAAGAACCTTTCTGTTTCACAAAAGGTTCTTTGTGGCAAAAGAAGGTTCTTCAGATTATAAAAAGGTAAGAAAGAGATGGTTCTTTAAAGAACCTTTGACTGAATGGTTCTTTGTGGAACCAAAAATGGTTCTTCTATGGCATCGCTTGAAGAACCTTTTGAAGCACCTTTATTTTTAAAAGTGTACCTGCATTGTATTCACTCTCTTGCGAGACTCTGATACATTTTTTTTAATTGTAAGATCCATTAAAGCAGAAGAAGAAAAAAAGAGCTACACACACACACTCTTGTAAACTTGAACTCACAAAAAGCAAAGACTAGGTGTCAAGGAAAATCACCAAATTTAAAATCCCACATTCATTCACACAGATCAAATCTGCACCTCACCGAAAACTTTCTAAAGTTTGAGCCATCAGCTCTGACAGCCACTAAAGCTGTTCGCTTTGGAATCCATATCGCTGATGGATGAACTGAGATTCAATCACATTTTGCAACTGCATCACCACAGACACCAGGGGATCCCCTTCCCTCTGATCTGAAACCTGCAATGGGCTTTTCTTAGAGCTTTTGAATAGAGGGTCATTTTAAAAGAGGCACATCCACATTGTATTTTAACTAGCAGCTTCAAACTTGTAAACAATACAATGTACACACATGAACACATAGTATGAACAAATGGATAACTGTAAAAATGTGAATTAAAAACCTTTTTTTAAAAGAAAGAAAGGATTCTTTCACTATAAACAAACAAACAGACATCCGCTGGCATCAGCCACTCTCAATGATCTTTCAGCATTTGTAAGTAGTAATTAGTACTGGATGAGCAAGAAACAGGCTGAAACGAATGGGAAGGGACTAAATTAGCTAGGGGAGGGGCTAATATATATTGGGGAGGGGCTAAAGGAGATTGGGCAGAGGATAACTATAGTTTGGTTCCAAAATATGGTGTTTTTTGGCCATATGTCACCATTTTCACTCCAGCAGCTAAGTTAACACACACATAAATTGTGCACGTGTTAATCTAATGTATTTTAACACCACAGTCACACACTCTCTCACATACTGTTTTATGAGTCAGCATCACCATTCATATATTCATCTCACCACACAAAAACAGATACACCCGTTCACTCTCTCTCTCTCTGAGCTGTACATTAAGAGTATTTTCACTGCGATGATTTGACCACAAGTGTACAAGAGAATAAAACATTACTGCTCTGATTTCTACTAGTTCATTCTGCTCTGGTTTCTTCTGCAGCCAGGCCATTTTGTCACAACACTAGGATAAAGACACCTGTTAAACACTGTAAAAGAGGGAGTGATATTGTTTGGAGGTGTGGTTGAGAGTGTGATATTAGGTGTTCGACTTTCGACTGCAGCTGGATTTAACTGATCAACTAGATTTGCCGCTTATAGAGACATGAAGTCGAACACTTTCTGCTTGCTATAGTGACGCTTGTGCAGTGCTTGCATACTCTACCACAGATGAAGTGGATTAGATGCAACATTTGTCAAATACACAGACAATTGTGAAGGTTTTATGTAGCAACAGAAAAACTTTTTGATTCAATACTCTATGTACTGCATAATACAGGGCCTGTATTACAAGAATAAAGTTCAACATAAGCCTATACTATTTAAATACAGATAAAGTGGGGACTATATTTTTTTATCAATTTTGTTTTGATAAACATGACAATATAACATTAAGATGAAAATAGTTTTCCTATTATAAAAACAGGTATTTGTTTGCATTAGCAGAATTGCAAACATGTCAGAACAAATATGTAATGTACATCATCGTCGTCACCAGTGAATCCGGCCAAATGTGAAACTATGGTGTCGTCATCAGAGGTTGTGCAGCTGCTCTGTAAAAACTGTGCAGAATGTATTTTGATGGCTGATGTCAGTGATCTGGCATTGGCACACTCTCAAGTTGTACAAAATGTATAACTGGCATGTACTTCTTCAAATCAGACTGCAATTGCAGGAATGCATGCACAGCACACATGAATTTGTACACACCCTGTCTGGGGGTATGGATAAGAGTGTGATATAGTTTGGAGGTGGGGTTAAGGGTGTGGCTTTGTTTGGGGGTGTGGTTAAGGGAGTGGCATTAGGTGTGTTTGACTTCATGCGGCGCTGCGCAGACCGATCGCGGAGAGTTGCCGCTTGCAGTCGGGGGCAGAATTGAAAGCAGAAATGTCAAGTCGGACACTTTCAGCTCCCGGTAGTGATGCTCGTGCGGTGTTTGCATATTCTATCACAGACTAAGTGAATTAAATGCAATATTTGTCAAATACACAGATGTTTCAGAAACGTTTTCATGACACAACAAAACTACTTTTCATATACTGCTTAATACAGCACCATCTGTTCAACATAAATATATACTATACCAATAAAGTGGGTCTATATACTTTTATCAGAGTTTTTTTGATAAACGTGTTACATGACTCAACTACAGTAAACAAGTTTTTGCTGTTATGAAAACAGATTTGTGAGCATTAGTGGAACTGAAGGTGTCAGAATAAACCCGAAACACACGTCATCGTTGTCATGTGGTAAATACGATCCAATCGTGAAACAGCTGTGTCGTCATCAGCGCTCCTGCAGTTGCTCTGGAGAAACTGTGCCGGCTTAGTAAGGAGACTGCTCTCGAAACGCTCTCGCAGTACTTTCATGCTATACATCACAGTAACATGGCGTCGACGCTGTCTCAAGTCAGACAAAATTTCTAACCAGCATGCACTGCTTCAAGTCAGCTGCCGATCGGTCTGCATAGCGCCGCATGAAGTCGAACATAGTAGTATGTCATCAAAGTTCCGCGAGAGTGATTAGACAGCAGACATCTCGTCACAAGTCGAACACACCTAGGTTGACATCATTTGAGGGTGTGGTTAATGGTGTGAAATTGTTTAGGGGGTGTGGTTAAGGGTGCAGTATTGTTAGGGGGTGTGGTTAAGGGTGTGGCATTGTTTGGAGTGTGGTTAAGGGTGTGGCATTGTTTGGAGTGTGGTTAAGGGTGCGGCATTGTTAGGAGGTGTGGTTA